TACACAGAAAAAAGACAACTTTTTCACCCGGTACAACTCATTAGACAAGAATTTGTTTCATGGAGGAATAACTGGCTTTTTACATGTCGTAAAAACATGTCATAGTTTAAATTTAAGTTTCAAGCAATGTCTAAATCACGATGAATGGTTATACAGTTGTGGGAATCCACGTTAGCAGCTGGGCGACAAGCCAAGCAATATTTCCATATTCAATAGTAGATGGCCTTATAGAACTAAGCGACTTGAACGCTTTTCTTAAACAGTGTTCCACTCTCCACCATAAACCTTGTTCGCACTGGGTGAAATAAGACGATATATCCCTTTGTCGGAATCTCCTTTAAATAACAAGCAGCCTGTCGGCTGATATGGCTACACTATTTCAAATGAATAATGAAAACAAAATTATATATCAGATCAATCTACCTCAAGATTTTTCACTAAACTCAGTGATACGAAATTGAAAATCAGTAATACATATAGCTCTGCCCGACTTTGTCGACAGTAGTAACTGTTATTCTTACTGTATAAAATATTGAAAATAAAATTCCCTCAGTTACAAGTATTTCCTGCCATGTGAATGAATGTCACGTATATATCGTCGACGCCATTTTGAATCCATGAATAAATCAACAATAGTTTGAGTATATCAAAACCGAACTACAGATGGCGTGCTACCTAGACCTAAATTAAATTACACAGGCGTTTTTAGTTCTGTCAAAACACATCTTGCAGCGAAGTAATTGTAACCTGTGTGAACAAGATAATAATCGCAAGGCGTACGTAATACAATTAGTCGGACAATAAAACCCATAACAACCTCGACTGGTGGTATCTTATCATACTACTCCCCGAGAAACTGCGAGAAATATTGCTTTATTTATAGTTAACGTGCTATCTCTTAGTACACTATTGAAGATATGAGCCAACGATAACCAACGATTCTAGTGTCTTTGTGTTAACACAACTTGATTAACTTACATGAAAGTAGTGTTTCCATTTTGGAATATCCATACCACTAATTATCGCTTGAATCCCATGTGATGACTTGAGTACAACATTGATAAAAGCACGTCCACCTGGTTTCAAGCAGTCACAAATCCCTCTCAGTGTAACTGATTTCCAATTCTTGATGTACGGCAGAACATAGTAACATACCACTTTATGAAAGTTATTATTCCAGCTTTCTTTAAAACCGTCTGCATTTCCAGCATCAGCTACAATATATTGAATCTTCGGGTCGCTGTTCATCTTTTTAGCAGTGTCAATCATTCCCTGGTTAATGTCCAGTGCTGAAAAATGATTTTACTTGGATGAGCTCTGTAAACATTAAATTAACCTAATCATGTAAGCCATATGTACTTTTACATATACTTGGCAACAAACATAGGGGTTAAGACACTCCGAACCGAATACGAATTTTGTAATACTAAGCGTGTTACAGTGCCTATGTGCAAGGGAATTTAGATTTACCAAATGTTGCTAGAAGAAACCCGTAACATGTGTCTCATTCCTCGAGCTAGTCCCGTTGAAAATGTAACAACTACAAACTCTATGCCCGCCGGCTATTGTAAGTGTGAACACTCATAATCCCAGCTGGAAATCGCCATCTAAGTTTATACGAGACCCATATCTTGCGCGTGCGTGGCTCGACGACCACCGCCCTTTAATAGTCAAATTTCATAATTCCAAGTTGCAATACTCAGGGAAATAAAGCACTCACAACAATTCTATCGTGTATATAACTATATCTGCACTTCTAACGTCATATCTATGCAATGTTTACGAGTAGTGAGGATTTCTCTATCGTTATTGTGATACAATTCACAAACTCGACTCTAAGTGTCACGCTAAACCTCTGCACATTGTCTGATGGGGACGTTATATGCTTGCCGTGGATGACCTTACTGTGTGATATTACTATACTGTTTTGACTGGTTTCTATAATCCCAGAAATATCCCATTTATTCATATAATGATTCTTGTCAATAATAATTATATGACTCTGCGTAGCGATTGTGTAACTCGCCGAATTTCGACTATTGCAGTCTGTGAAAGGGTAGCAGTGTCACACTGGCCATACTTTGATTTTTTGAAGACCATTTGTCACAGTGTAATCACACGGAAATGCGATATTCGTGTAGTGTTTCGTGTTGATAAAAATTCTCAAAATTTTGAAAACCATCTCTTTTCTGAATTTATTTAATTTCGCGTGTGTTTAATTTTCGCGGTTTTGACCTATCCAAGCTTTTTCGCGGATTGTCGAAAAATATTATTGGGTAACAAGGTAAAGTTTTAATGAAAAACAACACAACAGCATTGCTTAGTAGCAAATGTTACCTGATAGGTCAAATCGATAATTAACAAATCAAACTTTACCCAAAGAACTAAAAATTCATGTTGATAACGCCGATAAAATACTATCCAATCCCACAGACATTGCAGAAGCCTTCAATAACTACTTTGTTAATATTAGACCCAACCTTGCCTCAAATACTACCACCCCCCACCAAAAAAAATTGATCACTATCTTAATGACCCTAGTATGAATTCCTTCTTCCCTGTACCAACCACAGAACAGGAGGTAGTTTTGTCATTAAGCCATCTTGATCAGAAAAAATCATCAGGCTATGACTTTTTACCGGTACGACTTCTTGTAGATGGAGCTGATATCATTTGTAGACCACTTTGTTACCAAACGCTTCAGCGTGGTATTAAGAGTTTGTTTTCAGGAGTGGGTAAT